CCGCAGCGGCCGAAATGCCCGCGGCTGCGGCCGCGGGTATTACATAGCATGCAGTCAATGTGTCTGTTCGTGCAGGAAGAGTGTCTGTTCGTGCATTGGGTGTGTCTGTCCAGCAGAACTCAAAGAGTTAAGTTCTTGTCCGGATTCAAGTCAGAAAGGAAGTCTAGATTCAGATTGGGAGTCCGAACTCAAGGCCTGAAGGGCGCAGCAGCAGCAACCCCTGAGGGAAAGGGATCTCGGACACATACACAGAGGCTGGGACTGGGAAAGGGCCAGGACAGGCAAAATTCAGACCTCGCCAGGGGAGGCCAGCACTATAAGAAACGAGGCAGCCTCCCCCACAGGCAGATTCCCATTGGCATTGATGTGTGGAAGTGCTGGGGCACTTGTGCGCTTCCACGCTGAAGAAGGAGCTGCGCCAGAGAGGAAATGAGGTTGTGCAATGGCTGCAGGGAAGCCATAGTTGCGCTAGCCTATGTTAATAGTAGAAGGGTTAATAAGTAGGCATCAGTGAGTGACATTCAAAGTAGATCTTCGTAGGTGAGGAGTGTGCACACATAGTGAGGTAAGAGAACCAAGACAGAGTTCTGGAGAGAGAGAGAAGAGATGAAGAGAGAGAAGACAGGGGGTGCGCTTGGTTATGGTGGACACTTACCAGTTGGCGCCACTTCTGTGATCTGAAGGAGGACGCTGGCTATGCCAGGTTCCACGCTATTGTATGACGGGGGAGACTTACCTCTTGTTGGCGCTGAAGTCTGGAACTCATGATACTCTTTGTATTAAGTGACATTGATAATATAAGCTCCACTACTTGGTTCTTATCTCCTCTCAATCTGCTTTTGTGTGCGACCACTTTGTACGTGTGATGACATGTATGCATGCGGTTTGTCAGGGTTTGATGCAATCGAGCAAGTTGTGAACAGTCAGGTTCCTTGCAATTCTGGTATCGGAGCAGGTACTTGTTGCACTCACTGCGCTGGCATGAGTAAGGCCAGCGAGAAGGAGAAGAGAACGCTGGCTTGTTGATGATGCTGGCGATGGTGGAAGAAGAGGTGGATAGGGATATGGGAGAGGAGTAGACCGAAAAGGACTCGAAAGGGGCAGAAGTGATACTTACCTGAAGCTTGGAGTGCGGAGCGACGAGAAGTCTTCATCGACGATCGCTCCAAAAGAGAGAAGCACCCTTTACCCCTTACCTGGCTGCATGTGTTTGTGCATCTCTACTCCTCACCCTCTCTGGGCTCGCTGCTGCTGCTGTCAAATCGAGTCACGAGGTCTGTAGCCTGGTTGACCGAGGTCAAAGGGTCTTGTCACGCCACGGTCAAGAGCGATCAGGGTCCTTCTATCTTCTACCTTCTAGTCTGGAGTCTGCGCTGTAGTCAAGGGAAGGGTACGCTGGGAGTTGGTGGCAGTCCACCACGTCAGTATGCAAGTCCGATATAAGGCATAACTAATCTGGGCAAAGACAAGTTGGGATCGAAGTGTTGTCCAAGCATCTGACCGAGTACCATTCCAGCTCTACCTGCGCAGAAGGACAAACAGATAGGGTTAGAGAAGAAGATAAAAGAAAAAAAAGGAAAGAACAACATTTATCACCAGACCAGATCAAGTGTGATATTTGTTTTAATCAGCTATGTTACTGCGCGTTCATTGAACGCACGTTCTGCGTTCAGTTTATGAACGCGGTGAACGCGCGTTCAGTGAACGAGGTGAACGCCCCTGAACGTGTTTGACGCATTTGCGCAGGGGGCTGTGTGGGCTGGGGAGGTGCCTGTGAGGCCACTGGAGCATAGGGGGAGCCTGCAGGGTCCGG